GATGCACACATACACCTTACCCTTATAGTGTGCACGTGGTATAGGCTGGGAGGAATCTAGCAATAAAATGGCTGCAGTTTCAAGTTTCCAGGAATTTGAAACCTGAAGAAGTTTGCACTTAGCAAAGCTACACTAACCTTTCTACCTATCCAAATTTGTACATAATAAATGTCAAATAGCAGTTAATATAAAAAGTATAGTACTTACTGCTATAATCACCATATCCATAGTAGTTGTTGTAACCAGTGTAGTCATATCCTCCATAACCACCGTAACCTGGGCTGTTATATCCATAGTTGCCATAGCCTTGATTCCAATAGTTACTATATCCCTGGTTCCAGTTTTGACTGGGGCCTGCAGCACATTAATAGGTTCACTAAAGTCAGAAGATCAGCAAAGATCTTTACTTAAGGATAATTAAAAAGCAGAAAAGCTTAAGATAGAGTAAACTTAGGCTCTAGCTTACCACCACCTCTTCCACGAGCTCTTCCTGCAAATCCTCCTCTAGATCCCCACTGTTGTTGTTGCTGATACTGTTCCTTTGACATGGCTACTTTTATTTCACACTAAAAGAGAAAAATATTATACTGAATCAGGAAAATACTAGTCTTGAATTTGGAACAGCCAATACTGTCTAAAATACAGCTAGCTAATTTGATACTTTTCTCAAAATCTGTTTACGAACTAAAACCATTAGTACTTGAAGAAATAATTACTTCTGACATCAAAAAAGTATTTGTTTGAGATGTTATTAATCCTACTTCTCAAAAAATATACTTTGGTAAAACCTAGACAAAAATTCATTTAAGCCCTAGCTGCGTCTGCCTCAGTGGCTAGTGTCAGCCCACAGACTCAAGGGTCCCAGGTTCAATTCCGGCCAAGGGCACACACCTCAGTTGCAAGCTCAATCCCCAGCACTGGTCAGGGCACACACAAGAGGCAACCAATCGATGTCTCTTTCCCATCAATCTCTCTCTCTTTGCCCCCCTTCCTCTCTCTCTGAAAAGCAATAGAAAAAATATCCTCCAGGTGAGGACTGAAATATAATAATTTTCACTTAAAAACAAATGTCTCACCCTGGCCAGTGTAGCTCGGTTGGGCATCCTCCTGAGCACCAAAAGATTGCAGGCTTGATCCCCTATAGGGGGCGTGCAGGAGGCAGCCAATTCATGTTTTGCTCTCTCATCGATCTTTTTCTTTCCCTCTCCCTTCCTCTCTCTAAAATCAATAAACAGTATTTTTCAAAAAGTTAGTTTCCCTTCTGCTCCCTAATAAAAGCAAAAAAACAGTTGATCAATGACTTTGATGAACAAGGAGCCAATGAGACATCTTTAAAGCACAAGGCAAGCTAAATGAAGCCTTTACAGAAAGCTATAGGATTATACTCTTTACAAAAGCTAGTTACACAAGTCTACAATTAAATGAAAGCTAACTTACTTTACTAAGACCAACATTGTGGTATTTCTTTTCCATTATCTTCTTCACTGGTTCCTCTTCCTTAAAGGTAATAAAACAGAATCCACGCCTCTTATTGGATTTGTCCATGGGGAGCTCTATGGATTCCACCTGGTATCAAAAAATAAGTTTTAATGCCTTAGTTTGCACATTACTGACAATAAGAGCACAAGTTTAGTGGGAAAAGTGTACAAAGAAAACATATATTTAGCCCTCAAACTCTAATCTGCTGTGTCCCTCTCCATTAATTCTAATCTTTTAAAAGAATTCTTCAAGTCAGAATATCCACTCCACCTAAAATCTCTTCAAATCTACCTATAAAAACAAGCTCCACAGGGTACTAATATTTGCTGCTTAGTTGAAGGGTCACAAACTCAAATGCCATCAAGAACAATCAGAAGGAAATAAAACAATTTTAAGAAAAACCGAGTAAGAGAGACTACATTTGGGAGAAAATGAGGAGTGATGAGGACCACTGAAAACTGGAGAACATGCGACTGCCCAAAGGTGGAAGCTGCTACTCATCTTAGATGGCTGTTGCCAGACAAAAAAGCAGTTCCAAAGTTGTTTGCGCTTACAAATATTTAAGCTAGATATCCAGATTTTTGCCAGAAATGCCCATTCCTAAATACTAACAAAAAACATGCATTCAGTGGAATCAAGTAGATGATGTCTGCAGAGCTCTATCTCCAGGCTATTTTTGTGGCCCAAAGCCATATATTTCTCAGCTTTAAATCATTAATCCATAAAAGGAACTCCCATCTAATTATTTCACTAAGTCTATAATTAACCTCATAAAATTTGCACATATAACATGTTATTTAAATTAGAAGGCACCAAACTCTATTCCTAATTCACTCCTTTTCTAATCTCAACTGAATCATTTCCTTCTGTATCTCAAGTACACTAATCTGGATTTCTTCCTCATGTTGTTTTTATTTTTATTTCTTCCATTAATCTGGTAAGCTCCATGAGATAAGAAATGTCTATTTCATCTTTGTGTACCCTGTGCACAGCAGTGCTATGCATATAGTTCAATAAGTGGAAAAAATTGCTATCATCTAACCTTCAAAGATCTGCTAATTATTAACAATATCTTTATTGCAAAAATAACCACATAATGTTTTAAATTCAAAACTTTGAAAAACCCTTAATGTGACAATTATATTCACACTAATTTGGGGGGGGGGACTGGATCAAAATATTATCACATACCTCACCAAAACCACCAAAGTACTCCCTTATTTTCTCTTCAGGTGTATCTGGAGAAAGGCCACCAACAAAAATTTTTTTAACAGGCTCTTTTGTTTTCATGGCTTTGGCCCTTTTAGGATCAATCACCTTTCCATTCAATTTATGTTCTTTCTGATCCATGACCTAAAGAAATTGAAGTTTTTTATTTTAAATATGTATATCTTAAGTTCAGAGACTATTATTAACTTATCTAAAAATAATTATAGTTAAATTAATATAGCTAAGGCTAGGCATATGTTGACTGGCTCATGATTAAACTGTCAAATTGTGGTGATGTGACACCAGCTAACATACACCAGCATTTAAACATAAAGGTCAGTAAGAACCAGCAGGGGAGAAGCAAGTCAATAACTAGAAGACATCACCTTTAACTATCAGCAATATAGACATGATTGCCACTTCTCCTTACCCAAAACAAAAGTTAATTTTAACTTAGTAGAGCCTGACACACAGAATATACATATTCAATAAACCTTTTTTTATACTTTAAATTGTTTATTAAAAATATAGTTGGCATAGTAAACACTTATTCAATCTAATTCTTCATAAAATGTATTGGCAAGAACTGTATCTCTTCCTTCATATTATTGCAAAAAGGGGAAATCACAAATAATAGACAAATTAATTTTATCAAACTAGCCATATATTTTATATTAACTAATCAGAACACATAACACACTACCTTATCTACACTCTCCGACTCTTTAAACAGCACAAAGCCAAAACCCCTTGATCGCCCTGTGATAGGATCTAACTTCAGAGTGCAGTCTACAACTTCACCAAATTTGGAGAAGTAGTCCTTCAGATCTTTCTTTGTAGTGTCCCAGCTAAGGCCTCCTATAAACATTTTCCTGTAAAGACAAAAAGCAATATTAAAATGCTAAAAAAAATCAAACTTTGACTTAAGTATCAACATCAATAATACCTTTTTAAAACTGCACCAATTTACTGGGCAGTACATGAAAATGTCATTCTTCCTAAATAATCATATAACAACACCCTATTCCAGTTTGGAAAGTTTTGCTTTATCACTGCTGCGCCTTCATAATTACAATACAGTGAGCAAGCAGCAGATTAAGTCTTTTGACTTGGCAAAAATAAGTATCTCCCCAAAGTAAAAAAACTGTACATCGTCTTTCTTAAATTACAAGTTAAATATTGGTAACAGCAAAATACAGAATTTTAACTTCAAATTTCCCTTCTAAATCTTCATTATACTTGTAAAAAGGCTACTTAATCCCCACTGATCAGTGACAGCATGTCTATGCTGAAGTCCTTTCTATTTAACAGTTCTCTCATTAACAAAACTCTTAGCACATACAATGGAAAATTCTAAGTCTCACAATTAAGTTGTAAACCAAGATTTTTGATGTGCTAAGAGTTCTTAATAAAGACAAAAGTAATCATGTGAACAAAAAAAATTATCCATTGAAGCACAATCCACTAATTAACGTAGATGATTTATTTACAGTAGAACCTCAGTTAACCAGCAATAAAATATTTAAACCTTTAAAATGCTAAAAGTGACCGGTGGTAAACAGAAACCACTAAGATACTTTATGACCAAAAATACATATTACCAAAAATTTAAGGTGAAATCTTTTTTTAAACAGCAAAAGGCCATAAAGCTCAGATCTGGCAACTCGGCGATCCTTTTAGATCTGTGCCCTATGTCCCCCTCCAAAAAAGAGCTAACATATAACATACCTTCTACCCTTTAAAGAGACAGGACTGGAGATTTTTATTTTAAGGGTAAACTGTCAGAATTTGTTATGTGAGGGCTAAAAATTTCATCATGGGAATAAAATCGTCCTTGCTCACCGATTTATCATCTTTATAACTGGGGTGGGTCGGGGTAGGTATGGGGATGTGGTACTAACTTCCAGCTGTGGAAAGAAATTAAAAGCAGAAAACATCAACATATTGTGGGCTTTTAAAATATTGCCACTAAAGCCAATTCTTGCAACAAGAAGCCAATTTTATCCCTAAAATAAGATCTTGCTTCTGCTTCTCCCTAAAGATGCCAGATTAACTGAGGTGTTACTGACCTTACTATTTTATCCATAGACTTGTTTTTACTTCTAATGACAAAGTTAACTTTTAATGCAAAAGTTGTCTTACTTTAGGCATACACTGTTAGGTTTTCAACTTGTACATAAAGAGTTGGGCCATTTATACGCTTAACTTTCAAGATTTTCTGATAAAATTTCCACGCTTGAAGTAACCTTTATTAACCCTTTTTTGTATTTTATAATCAAATGAACATAACAAAAACACCCATGTTGTATAGGTATTGTTAACGCTTATTGCTAATTCAATGGGGGGAAAGTTGAGGTATTTTCAATTACGTTTTCTTCGTTCAAGTAATATACCTTGTAATATCCAATCCTAGTCAGTTAAGTTGCCTTAAATACCTTACTTTTTAACCTAAAGATACAGATACTGCCTTCATAGATGAAAATTCATTACCAACATTTACCCTTTCAAGGCTAGGAGGACATAACTATCTTTTTAAGGATGAGAAAGAAAACTGACTAGTAAAGCAATGACCTCTTGCTCCGTTATCCATGGCAAGTTTCAAAACAGAAACAACTTCAAGTAAGTTGAAATTTAAATTTTAAATTACCAATTCTGTAATTATTACGGAAATTTTCATCAATAATTTAGGTATGAAATCATTTCAGCATCTAGATTATCTGAGGAACAGATCAGACACAATTTTCTTGCCTTTCAACTTTAGCTTTTTAAAATAAGGCTTTTGTGTTGGAGACAAAACTAGTTTTAATTTTATTTAACCAAAGCAATGTTTATATTGGATTAAGTGTCCTTAAATTAAGAAACTAAAAACAATTGCAAAGAAATAAAATATAACACCAATAATGAGGCTTGTTCTATTATTACTCACAAGCCCCAAATGTTTTTTTACAACAGCATGGGAAGTCAGTTTTCTTAAATATTAGATAAGCATACTAAATTCATTAACTAGCCCTATAAAAGTGCTCTCCAAAGAAACTTCCCACCTTTAATAGTCTTTGGCAGAGTTGTTAAATGTGTCTACCTTAGAACTGAAAAGGTCACTGAAGATGCTATCCTTCCTAACCAATCAAATCTCATTTATTCATTATATAAACTATTCTAGCAAACTATAATTTATACATATTCCATAATATTGATTACTCTTTCTCAAAAAATTTAGAGTAAATATGTAGTAAAACTTCAGCTATCCAGCACCTTTAAAGAATGAAAGCCAAATATTCCACCTTCATTAAGGCACTGCCAGCTTTCCCCAACCCCTCCTCCAACTGTTTTTCAACCTTCAATTATTTGGAATAAATTTTTTCTTCTACAGTAGATCACCCTTCTGCCTTCCTAATTAAATAGAGTAATCATGATTTGACACTGTGTCAGTCATCTCTAATATAGTTACTATAGCATGCCCATAGGGTCTTCTGAAATTAGAGCTATTAATACACTTAGTGCATCTCATATTTTAGCAATTTTAACAAGTTATTTTTCATTTTTGCCAGTTTAATCACCAGTTGCTGTTCTAAAATGCCACCCCCTCCCATTTTTGTAGGATGGATAGGTGACACTCAAGCTTCCCAAATTTTATGTAAAGTACCATCTGAGTAAGAGCTTTAGTGGCTCTTCTGAGGCAAATGTATTACCATATGATAGGCCAAAAAAGCACTTTTTCTGCTGCTCTAATTAAGGAAGGTTGCTGCACAACGGATTACCAGATAGGTAAATATACTACAATGAACACAAACTGTACCAAATCCATTCCATCTGTACTAAATGGAACATATTAAATCCATTCCATCTTTATTCAGTAGAAAAACCAAAATATCACAGTATGGTACAGTAAGTTATCTTAATTCTAGACAAATGGGAACTTATTTTTGCCTCTCTAGAAATCAGTACTCCGACATGCTCTCCCTCCTTCAAATTATGAGATGGTATAAGATACCAATTTAAATTTTCTATGTTTTATATTATTGTATCTTGCTTAAAGCACAATACCTATTGTCCATCCAGATTACCTCTGCTGCCTTGAATACAAAGACTGACTTCCAAGATGCTGTCACTCCTGCAGAGATGCGCAAACACTTTACAATGAAGTACAGATAGAACGTCAGAAAAATCCTAAGCAGCCAAGTTAAAACTACATCACAAGATTTGTTCAAATAACAACAAAAATGGGCCCCTAATGCTGCAATACGCTTTAAAATTTGATCCTTAGTTGTAAGTAAATCAATAACCCCAATTAAAATGTAGGACCTCATCTACCGTAATTTATTAATAAAGTTTACTTTTTAAATTCTACCTATAAGCTATTTAGCACCCCAAAAGCAGTACAGTATTCGATTTAAAACACTCAACAATTGAAATCTGTGCTTTTACTAATACTGATTTTACACCTATTACAGTATTAAACGACAGGCATAAAGTTATATAATTGAGTGCAAATGACTTATCTAAATGCTATGCAATGTCATTTAGGAATGTAGGCTGCTTTGTAGTACATACTTTAGAGAAAATAAATTTTAGAGGCAGTAAACCAAACTGCCTAAATTTAAATCCTATCTCTACCACTTACTGTGACCCCAAGGGGGAAAAAAATTCTATGATTGTTTCCACGTCTATTAAAAAAAAAGGACTAAAAACCTACCTTAAATTAACACACTAAAAGGGCACAGAACATAGTCTGATGCTCAATAAAAATAAGATTATTTAGAAATGATAGAGCACAATCTAAATATAATTTAATAAAGCAACTTTTTCATTTACTCAATGGCGTAACTTAAATCTCCATGAGCTATATAGTTTCCAACTTATACTCTGTACTTGAGTTCATTAGGTTTAACATTACAAAGCCAACAGTACCTTATTTCAAGATACTTCCCCTAACGAGTCTTTAGTGTGAAATACCTCATTCAAGGTCAAATAATAAGCATCATTAGACTTCCAATTTTGGAATAGGGAACACCCCCCCCCACCAAAATTCTGTAACTTTCAAACACTTCCAAACAAATCATGATCTTTGTACATGGTTTCATAACAAGTTCTGACAGTTTAAAAAATACAACAGAATGTAAATGTGATTTACATTTCAAGTACACGACTAGCCAATCACTGTCACCTTTCAGAGTAATGTTACTCAAGCACACAACTAACTTATTTAAATAAATTTCCTGGTATTTTTAATCATTGTAGTTATTTTAATTCCTTTAAAATCTTAAATTGACATTAAGTATAATGAAATCTCACTAACACATAAATGGTTTTTCCTTAGAAGATAGACTTATTTTAAAGCCACCAGTTACCTAAAATGGAAGGAATGGGTTTACTTTTTGCAACTAGATAGTATCACATGTTAGGGTAATGACTTTAGATTCTGTGTAAAAAAATGCCTTTGGAAATAGTATAACAAACTTTTAACAAGTCATTAAAAATGATTAATTTTCCTAGCCTAGTATATGAAATCTCATTACTTTATACTTTAGAATGAACCCAAATGACGAAAAAAGATAACTAAGTTGAAAACATAATAGCTAATAAATTAAACCAGACAGGTTTTGAATAAAGTTTAAATGTTTAACCTCAAATTTCACCTTTTTCTTCATTTCATTCCTAGGCAAGAATGACATCTTATATTTTTACTTTTCAAATAAACTCTCAGCTTTGTAAAGTAAACTCCCATCTATCTAGAGGTTAAGGAATAGGGTTTTCTTTAACCCAGAGGTTAAAGTTCTGGTTAACTGAGATTACTACATTCACAACTCTGTAAAGATATCCACTGGAAATCAATTTAGATATCAACACTAAACTCAGAAAATAATTAACTCTATTGATGAAATTTAAGAATCTTGCAGTGCTTTAACTTTTTAATAGTATAAGGGAAAAATTATAGAAGATTGATTCCATGACATTGTCTGTTGGTTACTTTTTTAGTATTATTTGCTGATAGTTTTTAGTTTTTCATCTTTCTCACAAGACTAAAGAGGGCGATGTTCCTAGTTCTTTGGGCTTTGTGATAGTTTCAAGTCTAGGTAAGCACGAATTTACAGAACATGACCCAATACTTAAAACTATCACCTTGATAACCGGCCAAACACTGCCAGTAATAAGAGTCTTCCCACCCCACCCCCAAACAGTCTTAAATGTCTAGCTCCAAAGTACAGTATAATACTCCAGAAACTAAAACATGCTTACCTTTACTCCACAGGAGTAAACCACTGGCAGTATCAACTATTAAGACACAGGACAAATACACACAAGCTAAGAAAGCAAGCTACGTAGTCAATCTTCCTGTGGTGAGCGTTGTTTCCAACACATAGATCAGCAAACCAAGTAACAAACATGTTATATTACCTGAGACCACACTGTTGGAAGTGAAGTAACAGAAACAGATCCCACGCTTCCAGCATCCAGTTCAGTGCCCTATCTACTAAAACGTTGAAGCAGAACTAAAGTGAAATAAAACTTTGAACTAACAAAAGTTATGTTTCACTCCATTTGTGAACCTGCACACATTTGAGGTGCACAGCTTTAAGTAGAATAGGAAAATAGTTATTCTATTCCTTTTTAAATGCTCTCAAGCATGGCATGTATCACCTGAAGGCTAAAATGAACCATCCTACATGTTGGTCATAAATCACAGTAGTAGACAAAACTTTCTTGTATTTATATATGACAGGATACTCAGGCAATAAAAACTATAAAGTAAATACACACTTAGTTCATAGAGAATGTCACATGACTTGGGGAAAAACAGGCTTAAGGCAAGTATATTTATCTCAAAAATGAGCACCGAAAAACTTCAATGATATTCTCCAATTCCAAACCCAAAGGTCAGGTGATTTTTTTATAGCATCTTTCGTAATAGATAAGAATTTGAAACGGAGAGAATTTAATATTCCTCCCTTACATGTTCATCATCTCAAGATTTGGGGGCATCAATTGCTGCAATTTAAACACTGGAAACCTGTCAAAGGTTCCAAAGAATGCTAAAATTCAGAACCATCTATTCAGGGTCTCAACTTTACAGTAAACTCAACTTTACTGAATCAAAGGCAAGTAAAGTTGGCATGAGACTGCTCTAAAATGGTTTTACAAGGCAAACAGTGTTCAGAATGCCCCCAAAGCACCAGGGAATAGACTATCATCTCAAATATTTAAAACAAAAACATGGGTAGTCCTATTTCTTAAAAATTAACAGGAGATAACCTATAGCAGAATTCAAGAATTCCCAAACAGGCTAATCACAGTTGAGCTTATACACTAATGATTAGAAGAATAGATCACACATCCTGTTATTAGAAAAGTATTGCTCTACTTTGATAACTGAATAGGACTATTTTGCTTCCTGCCCAATCCAACACAGACCAGTCAATGTACCTATCTTGTAAAACTGTCTGAAAGCTAATACAGCATTAGAGTTTTCCCCTGATCATGATACTTTAAAAATTGCCTCCATGTAGCTTGCTGGACACTAATTTCCAAGTATCTACTCTAACAGAACTGCAGCCCTGCAGAGAATATGAGTCCATACCAAAAGAGGAAATTTCAGTGCAAATGCTTCTCAGTAAAAATTAAAGACCCTAAAGTTGGAAAGATTAAAGTGAGGTGAACTCAGGAAGGCATTTTACTATGGAAACAATTACTCTGAAAATCCATGGTAAACTGTGGAAATATCCACTAGAGGTATGTAAAGGCATGCCCTCCTCATAACAGCTGTTTAATCTTATATTCAAATTTTAAAACTACTTTTAGGCCTACAACAAAATGATTTAAAAAATATTTTAGGAAGAAACTGTAATCACCTTATTCTCAAGTTAGAACTGTAAAAGGAAACACATGCAGAAATATGTTTAAGAAATCAAATTTAGATGATTTTATATCTAGTAAGTAGTCTTATCCTCACTACTGAGACTACTCTGAAACTGCTGCCCAATGTCCCTCAAACAGGGAGACAAGTAAAAGAACAGAGGAGCAAGTGCACAGACACCAAAAGTTGTTTAATGGTCTTGAGATTTTTCTTTTCCGGTTCAAAAGTAAAAAAGAGTATTACAGGATGAGGTTTAGGTGACTGGGCAGTAATTTTAAAAGGTCAAATATTATACTTTAAAAATGAAAGCATTATTTGTTAAATGTAAACTTGCTTAACTTAAAGTGAACCTCAGTAAAATCCTATTTTCGATAAATTGGTCAGAATCTAGAACATTCATTAAACTATAAACATTTAATTGCCCATTTTTCCTGCGAAGTCACTCAAAAAACTTGTAAAGTTATAGTATTAGGTAGCAGGGCAAGTACTTCTTACTAGAGTAAAAACAGTGACCTTCAAACCTAATGGTCCTTTTAAATTACTGAAAATAATGCTTACAGAAGATTTGAAATATATAATGGAGTAGCAAAACCAAGTACAGTTATGGTTTAATCTTAGTTTGTCACTATTAGCAGTGAAAATATCAATATGAAAGGGTGTAATTCTCATCAGGAACATTTTTATTCTGTGTGTCAAACTCTAACCCCAGTTTCTTCTTTTGCTTTTCCCTTAAGACTATTGCTTCTAGTCTGCTTTATCTCCAATATAAAACTGGATAGATTTTAGTGGATGAGAATACAGTAATAAGAAAAGCTCGAGTTAAATTTAAACGTTAACCCTACTAGGCTCTTTATAGAATGTAATTTGTACACATGTAAGTCAACTATCTACAAATTACTGGCCCTCCATACTCCAGTAGTGGTGGATAAAAAAACTCCTGGAAAACTCAAATATAATCCTAAAGAAAAACTGACATTTAGGGAGAAGGAATAATAGTCAATCTACCAGCCTTCCAAAGAGAAATCATGCAATTGTGAACACATCAACCAACTGTAATTAACGTTCCAGCCAAATCACACAAAATATCTGATTTAAGAGCTGTAGTGGAAAGCCACATCAGCCAACCTCTGAATTGTACTATCCGATTCTTAAAGTTATATTTATAAATATAAATACGGTTGGTGATAAAAGACATACATTTTTGCATAATGCATACACACAATGCTACTTTAAAAATTTTACTTTTGACATCTCCAGAATATTTCAGTATAACATGCAAGACATTTTAAATACACATGATTTTATATCAAGTAACCTTCACATTTAGCACTAAACTTAGAATTCCAAAAATATGTCTTAAAAACAAAAATCAAATTTGAAATTAGTTTTTCTTGCCCAGATTAAAAAAAATCATTACTATGTTAAGCTTTAATTGGCCAAACCACAATTACATGCATTACCACAGACCCAAAACCATGTAATGGCATCAGTTTTGCCCAAAGATCACTCATGATGCCTGAAAAGGTTTTATATCCCAGGTACAAGATATCCTACTGTACTAATGTCTAGAATTTCCTGGGGAGTCAATGGGCAACCAACCAAAACACAGCCTCTGCAAGTTATGACTATTGAAACCTTTATAATACAGAAATAAAATTTAAAAGTTTTACCATTCTTCCCGCTGTGTCGTCGCTGCTTCAGAGTGTCGTGGGGAGGAGTTTGAATGGCTAGGGAATTAACAACCGGTACAGCAACCAATCAAAATTCTAGTTTTAGTTTTTGACATTGTTAGGGTTAAAAACTTTAATTAATTTACACTTCAGTTCAACAGTAGATAACTACAAAGGCAGCTGCTTTGTGATTTGAAAAATCAAGGTTAATAGAAAGCCTGCCCTAAACAGCAAGTTACACAGTTACTTTTTGGTGCCTCTGCCCAAATAACAGAATTCAGAAAACGAAAACCAAAATAGTAAAGGCTTAAGTTTCCAAATATTTAACACATTCCTTTCTTAAACTATACATTATTAAAGATTAATTAAAGAAAAGCTAGTTTCCTATCCCACCTACACTCTCCTAGTCAGCACAATCAGCCGGACAAGTCTGTCTGGGCTGAGATTAAATCCTATACTCCAAAGTGATTCTCTCTCCCCCCTCCAAATCTTGTGCTCTTTCCCAACTGCTTTTACCTTCCAACACCTTTTTCCTTGTTATAATGAAATAAATTCACACATACGCTACTAAAAGGATTGGAAGCATTAATCCAAGACCAGTAGTCAGTAACAGGAGTAAGAAAACCCAACCAAGAACCCCGATTTAGTTCCTCCTGCTAACTCCCACTCCCAAATGCTGCATTTTAATATATTAAGTGCAGCTTTAAGTAATATATACAACCAATTCCAAATGGAGGAAACAAGTTACTACTTAAAAACCTGCAAAAAAAAAAAGTTATGCCATAGCATAATACCGGATTTGTTCATTTTTTGAAAGGCTGGTGGGCCTCCTTTAACAGTGGGTAAGAGCAGAAAGGAGAAATCGAGAGAGACCAAAAAAAGGATCCTGGGCACCGGATGGGGAAAAAAAGATTTTGTAAAAAATGTAAGTTGCACAGAAAAAGTAAAGTAGGTAAGAGTACCATCTGTACGAACAATTGGGGAATCCAATAGCTGAGAGCGAGAAAAGGGTGCGCGGTTCGTGTAACTC